GAACTCACCATCTCCTGGTGATTGGCCCAGAGACACCCAGCTGGCTTTCATGGCTAAAGCGGGACTAGAACTCACCGTCTCCTGTGATTGGCCCAGAGACACCCAGCTGGCTTTCATGGCTAAGGCGGGACTAGAACTCACTGTCTCCTGGTGATTGGCCCAGAGACACCCAGCTGGCTTTCATGGCTAAGGCGGGACTAGAACTCACTGTCTCCTGGTGATTGGCACAGAGACACCCAGCTGGCTTTCATGGCTAAGGCGGGACTAGAACTCACCGTCTCCTGGTGATTGGTCCAGAGACACCCAGCTGGCTTTCATGGCTAAGGCGGGACTAGAACTCACCGTCTCCTGGTGATTGGCCCAGAGACACCCAGCTGGCTTTCATGGCTAAGGCGGGACTAGAACTCACCGTCTCCTGGTGATTGGCCCAGAGACACCCAGCTGGCTTTCATGGCTAAGGCGGGACTAGAACTCACTGTCTCCTGGTGATTGGCACAGAGACACCCAGCTGGCTTTCATGGCTAAGGCAGAATTAGAACTCACCGTATCCTGGTGATTAGCCAAACTGGGTATGAACTGGGTATGGCTACTCTGGAAAAAAGGACTAGAGGTGACATGAGAGCAGTACTCCAGTATTTGAGGGCCAGCCACAAAGAAGAGAGGGTCCATTTATTTTCCAAAGCACTTGAAGGCAGGATAAGAAACAAGGGATGGAAACTGATCAAAGAGAGAAGCAACCTGGAATTAAGGAGAAACTTCCTAACAGTGAGGCCAACTAACTAGTGGACAGAAACTTGTCTGAAATGATATAGGGCAGTGATGGTGAACCTTTTAGAGACCGAGTGCCCAAACTGCAACCCAAAACCCACTTATTTATCGCCGGGTGCCAGGTGGGCGTGACCCACTGGGTGGGCATGGCTGTGGTGGTCATGGTAGACTTGGTGGGTATGACCAAGGTGGGTGTGATCACCTCAATGTTGCTCCTGGGGAAGGCTGTCTGTGGGGGCCAGGCAGGGTTTGGGGAGATCCAGGGGGTCTCTGGCAGGTGGGGCAGTGGGTAGGAGGCTCGTCCTGCTGGGTGAGGCGAGGCAAGGCGAGGCAGGGCGGGGGTGCCACTGTCACAAGGCAAGGTGAGGCAGGGGCCGGGGTGGCTGCACACAGAGGCCAGCGAGCTCATGGGTGCTGGGATGCATCTGGCCATGTGGGACCTCAGTGAGTTAGCGGGGAGCTGGTTGAAGAGGGATGGTTGCCATCTCCGGGGCATGGCGCACGTGCCCACAGAGAGGGCTCTGAGTGCCACCTCTGGCATGCGTGCCATAGGTTCGTCACCACTGATATAGGGTCTCCTGCCTGAGCAGGGAGTTGGACTAGAAAACCTCCAAAATCCCTTCCAGCTCTATTCTGATGGATGGATGGATGGAGTGGTTGATTTCTATTTTAGCTTCCTCAAAGGCCTTTCTCTGAACAGTCTATTTACTAAGGCTGTTAAATTTCCCCTTGCAAGATGACTTTTTCTCATCTAATTCCATTTTCCTTTTAATGAAAACCAGACTTTGGCTGTTGATCAGCTTTACAGTTGACCATCTCTTAAACCCTCCAAAAGTTTGAAATTAAAATCTTTAAGTGTATTACAGTAGAGGGACTTTATACCCCAATGCTCAAGGAGTTGGTTGCCTTAGTTTTCACCTTGAGCTTAATATTCTTAATAGCTTAATTAAAAATGGATATTTGCATCCAGAGGCAATTAATTTCCAATGAATTATTTTTAAATTAAAATCCAGAGGATTATATTAACTTTATGAAAATGAAAGCACAGGGATAACCTCCGTGTTTTTTTTTTAATCAGCTCAAGCCTGTTTTATCCCATTGTGTAGTAGTAATTGGTGCAGAAGGAAATCTTTGTTGTTTGTTGAAAGAAGAAACATTGCAAACGTAGTTAATCTTATGCAACATGGATATATCCTGGACTTCCATTGTTACAGTCTAACATGATGAAGTGAAAGTACTTTATCAAACCTCTGAATAATTTGAATTAGAATTGCATTTGATAGTGTAGAAAGTCCCAGTAGAAGATAATGTGTACTATGATCAATGTAGGAGAGGATGATGTTTATAATTGTTTATATTTAGTAGTATTTAAATGGTGTGTAAATGTGGTTTATGTCTACGTGTCTGTTGATATCTGTGCTGCCCCCCCCCCCACACAACTGTGTTTTAGTGGGTTTATTGATATTCCCCCAGAACTCCCTTCACCAAAAACCCGGAACTGTTCCAATTAATTCCAGCCACAAGCAGACCAATGCTAGTTTGTTGAAACCAGGAGGACATGAGTCATGAGGATGAACAAAAGAGTTTTCTTTATTTATAAAACTCCCGGTTTTATAAATCTTACTGTTTATTGAATACACCACTTGGTTATGTAGAAGAAAAGCTAACTCTGAGGTTCCAACACCAATTCATAGACTTAAAACAATAGTTTCTCCAGGCAAACCCTCAACATCTTACCTAATCCATATCAACAAATCCACTTTGTTATGGGAACCGTCTACTTCAAATCCACACCCGTTCTGGCATCCTTAACAAGGCTTCAGGCTCCCGCGGTCTGCAGCTGAATCAAAGGAGTTTCGTTTCTCCATCTACCCACTTGAAAATAACACTTCCCCACCCCCTTAATCTAAAGGCAAGTTGAAACGCAGAGCGTGTAGTTGCCAAAGTTTCATCCTTGACAGCTAGCCTCTTTGGAAATAATATTCTCTCCAAGCCTTCAGACATTTTGGATATGTATTTATACAAATATCACCAAATCTCTGCATCCATTAACAACAAGTATGCTAAAGTTTAAGGGGGGAAATCTTGTTTATGAGCTTTGTATCCTACTTTTCCCATTTCAAAACTAAGGCATATGATCTGACTTTGAATGACTTAATTTCATTTGTTCTGAATAGTGTGTGCGTCAGAAAGTCCAGCTACGTATTGCACATTATATGTATACGTATTTTAAAATTAAGATCATATTTTATGCACAAAACACACCCAAATAAACAGACAGTAATAATGTGTGTTCCATAATCTTCCATAACGTGAATTCCTACCTCTTTTCTCTTTCCACAGCTTATAAAAGATCATTTTACTATTAATTTTCTTTTACAACACATAATAAAATCTTGATTTTATTTCTCCCTTCTTCAAAAGACTATCAAAAAAGAGGGGGTTTCGGGAGAACGCAATAAGCCAAGTTCCTCTAGTAAAATATTTAGATTTATTATTTAAATCAGAAACTAGCTTTTAATAGAAAAGAGTTAAAATATGGAGATTTGTATAATAAAATCAGTGTAGCAAGCTACTATATAACCTGTCTCAAAGTTTGCCTCGTGGCTTAGATTTCCTATTAAGCTTGCCTATGAATATGGCTGCACTGTTACTCAAATTTAGCCAGATTTTTTTTTTTAAAAAAGCTCTTTTTTCCAAAAAAATTGGAACACAGAAAGAACTGATTTCTCCCATATTATTTTCTTATCTGGTTCATTCAGATTTCAGATTCTTTTCCTAGGCAGGATACTTAGATATGAAAAAAGCCATGTTTTTTTTTCCTGTTTCTAACAGTTTCAATACTTTAGCGTTTTGTTTTGTAATCTGGCAAACACAGAATGACGTTACAATTGTTTTCCCTTACAAATATGAAACAAGAATTCTATTAAGCTAATTGTAGCTAATTAAGCTAGTTGATGTACCAATAACAGCCTCCTTGGGGCAAAGGATGTGTTTGTGAAAGTTTGCAAGATGGTAGGGACAATGCAGAGTTAATTCATCTCTAATCCAGATTGTGACTAGACAGTTCTTTCCCTCTAAAAAAATTTTAAGAGCAACAACAGATGTAAAACTTAAATGCATAGTAGATATTGTTCAATAGTTACTATTTTGCAATCTTTTTCTCTCTCTCTCTCCAGATAAACACCGTTCAAGCTGATTCAGTTATGAAATTGGCACGCTGTTTGCTTTATTTTAAAATTTCAAATATGCACTGGTAGTGTGATACAGTATGCTTAATTCATTTTAAAAGATAAGGAGAATAATGGAATAATAGAGTTGGAAGGACCCTGGAGGTCTTCTAGTCCAACCTCCTGCTCAAGCAGGAGACCCTATACCAGGGGTAGGCAACCTTGGCTCTTTTATGACTCGTGGACTTCAACTCCCAGATTCCTGAGCCAGCCATGATGAGGGGAAATGGTTTCCAAGCTGAGCCATGCTGGCTCAGGAATTCTGGGAGTTGAAGTCCACGAGCCAAGGTTGCCTACCCCTGCCCTATACCATTCCAGACAAAAAATTGCCCAATCTCTTCTTGAAAACTTCCAGTGATAAAGCACCCACAACTTCTGAAAGCAAGCCATTCCACTGATAGATTGTTCTCATTGTCAGGAAATCCCTCTTAGTTCTAGATTGCTTCTCTCCTTGGTTACCTCCCATCCATTGCTTCTTCCCTTTCCTTCTGGTGCTTTGGAAAATAGCTTGACCCCTTCTTTGTGGCAGCCCCTCAAATATTGGAACACTGCTATCATGTCACACCTAGTCCTTCTTTTCATTAAACTAGATATACCCAATTCTAGCAATCATGCTTCATGTATTTTAGCCTTCAGTCCTCTGATCATCTTTTTTTGCTGTTTTTTGCTGCACTCTTTTTAAAGTCTCAACATCTTTTTTATGTTGTGCTGACCAAAACTGGATGCAATATTCCAAGTGCAGTCTTACCAAGGTATTAACACTACGCGTGATCTTAGATTCTATCCCTCTGTTAACCTCCCTTGAAGCACCTATCCGTGATGTATGCATGCATGCATTTATGTTTGCAGGTAGGTAGGCATTCAACCGCCATCTTTGTGATCACCATCTTGAGTTTTTACTGCACACATTCCTGATGCCACATGATTAAGAAAAGCTAACATCTTCCTCTTGATTAGTCATTCTTCCACCCTTGCAGATAATATATCTTTTTCCCCGCACAGCTCATCACCAAAGGGGGGAATAGCTACGCCATTGAAAAACTCCAGACCGAACACATTCACAGCCAGCAACAGATCAAGGATTTGGAGACAAAGTTGGAAGTGAGTATTTATCTGTGACTGGAATTAACTTCCTAAGTTGTGTTAATGAAAAATTGGAAGATGCAGATAGACTTTTTTCTTTAGTTCCTCTGTAGCTTAAATTGTCCACTTCATAAACAGAGCCTGGGGTATCTTTTACAACAGGGGTGTCAAACTGCCGGCCTGCAGGCTGGACGCGTCACGTGTAAGCTGCACCCACCCCATTGCTGGCAATGGCAAAACAGTTCCGATACGTTGCGCGACGTCACATGACGTCACGAGTTTGACAATGTCCCAATTTAGGGGCAAATCCTTCTTTTCTCTTTGCGATGAATCTGAGGGTGACGTTTCGTACAGTTTCTATGTGGCAGTCAAAAATGAACTAAACATTCTGATAGCAGATTGAAAGTGGTGCACTAAATAAATCCTGATGTGGCTTTTATTTATAGCTGAGTAAGGAAGCGTGCTTGGATACGTTTCACAACATAAATCAAAAACTGATCATAGTTTCCAGAATCGAGGTAAGAAGAAAGTGATTGCTCTTCGCAGGAACTATAATTGCTATAATGGCGATGAACTGAGATCTGCACCTCATTTATCTGTGGGTTGCTGTATTTTTATCCTATTTATCCATTATTATCTCGTGAAGCTGTTCAGATCTGATTGAAAAAGAAAACTAAACTCTATTTTAAATGCATAGCATTCAGCAGAAAGGGAGTAAAGAGAAAAGAGGATAGTAACATTGAAGATATTTATAAGCTGCCCCTCAAGAACGCTCTGAGGGCAGTTCAGTGTAAGAAATAAAACAATAAAGAATAAATGCAGAAATGCAAATATACAAAGTAAGGAGAGAGCAAAAATAGCTTAAAAACTGAAATGATGACAAGGGGAATTTGTAAAATCACCTGGTGGATCCCTTAGACTTAGAGCAAGGGGGTTCAAATTGTGCCTTAGTTGTCTTCCTGGACATTACCTGCTATAGTTGCCCAGTGCAGGGTTGGTTGGTAGATGTGACATCACATAGGTCATCACACAAATGACAGAAACTATATTCATCCACACATTCTATTACAAGGGCTGTTTACTAATTGGAATAAGATTTAAATCCAACCTCTATCTGAGCTATTATACATGGACTGCAAAACTTCAAACAACCACTAGGTGGGAGCAAACAGTATCTCTTTGGTATGTTTTGCTGCCATCTAGCAGTCATTCAGAGTATTGCACCTTGGTACACCTGAAAATAATATCACCATGGCTCTGTTTTGACTGGATGCTGCTCATATTTTTTTCCTTTTGGACATCTATCTCTGGAAATGGGGCAGAGCCATTTTTGTTTAGGTACGTGCCATTTGGCAAGCTCGAATGTTGTAATTATGCGTTTCTTTATTCATAGCACTGGACAAAGAAGATAACATTGTCCTTTCACAGGCTTTTATCAATGGTACTTTTAATTGGGATGGTAAAATTGGTTTTGTAGCTGGTTGCGTTCCTCCTCTCTTCTACCCAAAATCTCTTTTCTCTCTCTCTCTCTCTCTCTCTTCCCAGCAAAGCAGAACCTGGCTCCATTTCATTTGGCAGGATTGCCACTGTTGGCATTTTTGTCAGTTCCCCAAACTTTCAATGCTTTATGATGACCAACTCTGGCTGTGCCATTTTTAAGCACTTCTTAAGAGATGCTAAAAAGAAAGACAAACACACAGTTGAGAAGAAAAAAATGGTAGGGCTTATTCAAAACAAATTTTGGTTCTTCAAAAACTGGGACGACCGCCCTTGTTTAGTGGAGAGTAGGCAGTTTAGGATATTCCGATAAACAGGCTTAATAAAAGAAAGCAAGGCAAATGTAGTCATTAGTAGCAAAAGGTCAAATCCTGCTTCGTTGGGGACCATGTTCTGATATTTTTGGATGGCCATCTTTTCTTCTCCTATGTAAGAAAGGTAACTACCGGTGCAAACATTTCACATGGACACTTAATTATAGTGGCCAGTGAATTCCATCAGTCATGGAAAATATGCAGATCTGATGGAAATGTGACTGGGATTCCCTGGTAGCTTGAAACTGGTGGGAGATGACTCTGAATACAAATCAAATGGTCACTATGGAGGAACTCCAAGTCTAGAAACAATCTAGGGCAGTGGTGGCGAACCTATGGCACGGGTGCCAGAGGCAGCACGCACAGCCCTCTCTGTGGGCATATGCGCCGTCGCCCCAGTCCTAGGCCTTCAGCTGGGTTTTATAAAACCTTTTTGCTTTAGGCCTCCGTCGCTGTGTGCAAAAAAAAAAAAAGGTTCAATCAGTCAATTTCAACTTCTCGTGGAAAAAAAAAGATCTTGCAAAGTTGGAATTGATTGATTGAACTTTTTAGTCCCACCCAGTCTGCTGTTAGCACCGCAGCCACGCCCAGCCAATGGGCCACACCCACCCAATGGGCCATGCCCACCCAATGGGCCATACCCACCTGGCATTTGACGATGCATAAGTGGGTTTTGGGTTGCAGTTTGGGCACTCAGTCTCTAAAAGGTTCGCCATCACTGATCTAGGCCAAAGGATATCTTGGCCAACTGAAGCCTTTGGTTCTGCAATGAAACATTCATCATTCAGAATATTAATGAAGGAAACGTAGACTTCCTTGCTTCCATGTGGGGGTATCATAGAACGTGGAATAATAGAGTGGGAAGGGACCTTGGAGGTCTTCTAGTCCAACCCCCTGCTTGAGCTGAAGACCCTATACTCTTTCAGACAAATGGCTGTCCAATCTCTTTTTGAAAGCCTCCAGTGATAGAGCATCCACAACCTCTTAAGGCAGTGGTTCTCAACCTGTGGGTCGGGACCCCATTTGGGGTCGAACGACCATTTCATGGGGGTCGCCAAACAACGCAGTCTGCCATTTTTTCCCCCTTTTCCTTAGCTGTACTACTCCCTTTTATTCTATTGGCTTTTGAAAGCCAATAGAATAGACTCTCTTAAATAGAGTCTAATTCTATTGGCTTTCAAAAGCCAATAGGAATTGTCCAGGCTGTCTCTGCCCTGCTGAGCCCACCAAAAGTCCCATTCTGCAAACGGTGCTGCACCAGTTGAATAGTCCTCAACTTACGACCGGTTGAGTAGTCCTCAACTTACGACTGGTTGGGGGGTCACGGCATTAAAAAGGTTGAGAACCACTGTCTTAAGGCAAGCTGTTCCATTGGTTGATTGCTCTCACCATTGGGAAATTTCTTCTTAATTCTAGGTTGCTTCTGTCCTTGATTAGTTTTCATCCATTGTTTCTCGTCTTGCCTTTTGGTGCTCTGGAAAATATTTTGACCTCCTCATCTCTGTAGTAGCACTTCAAATATTAGAAAACTGCTATCATGTCTCCCCTAGTCCTTCTTTTCATTAGACTAGATTTATATTGTGATGACCAGAACTTGATGCGCTATTCCAAGTGTGGTCTCACTTAGACTTTGTAAAGTGTTACTACAACTTCATGTGATCTTGATTCTGTCCCTTTATTAATGCAGTTTGGATATATATATTTGATATCCATAGGCTATGGTTGAAAATATCAAGATGGTGACCACAGTACTATGATCAAAGCTGCACATTTTTATACGCATTATGCAGTGAACATGCCATACATTAAAAAGTGAGCTGAACATAGATTGCACTCTTGCAGCTGCCAATTTGATTCTTTCAGCTGCGGTCACCCTTGGTGTGTTCGTTCATGCCTCCTTCCAAATCTATTCTTACCATCCCTCTCCCTCCAAATGGGAAGGACACTGTCTTTCCCCCATTGTGCATTCCTTCATTCTGCTTTGATAGACACATTAATTGAGTGGGGAAAATAAGATTTCTAATCATTTGGGTTGTCCTTAAATTGTCGTCATCCCCTACGTGGAGCAAACCAAAACAACGTGTACTACCCCCCCCCCAAAAAATGGGAAGGCACATTGCAGAGGCACATTACGCAAATACATTCAATAGGTGAGTGGGAATTGGATTTTTGCTTTATTTTTACATTAGCCTTTTGATTGGTGTTAATTATTGGCCTCTCTGCAAAGAGATATTGATAGAAGAATATATCTTTGCACGTTGCTAAGCAAATAACTACAATAAGTGGCATTGACTGTATTAGTAGATCATCCACCCAGGAAAGAGAATAGTTGTAGATCCGAATTGAATTGTGGGGTCCTTGGTGCTCTCTGAGCTTGGTGGTTTTCTTGCAGACCTTTTATTACCTGATTAGGTAACACCTTCGGTGCTGGAAGAGAATGGGGTTTGTGGAGAGGAGGAGGAGGAGGAGGAAGAAGAAGAAGAAGAAGAAGAAGAAGAAGAAGAAGAAGAAGAAGAAGAAGAAGAAGAAGAGGAGGAGGAGGAGGAGGAGGAGGAGGAGGAGGAGGAGGAGGAGGAGGAGAAGAAGAAGAAGAAGAAGAAGAAGAGGAGGAGGAGGAGGAGGAGGAGGAGACTTATGTACAATTACTTTGCAGTTCCTTGTTGCCATGATTGGACTTCCAGATACAACTACTAAGATAAGATAACTTTTATTGTCATTTTTTTTTCTGTGGGCACAACGGCACACATCAAAAATGAAATTTAGTTGCCTGCTCTCAAAGTGAAACAGATACATGACACACACCTACCATACTATATACAACATATGTATAGACCCACACCGCTACATATACATAGCAAATAAATATTAAACACTGTCCATCTTGGATATATAACGGAAGGGGGAAGCTTGAGAGTTCACAAGGTTAATGCTGTATGGAATGAAACTATGCTGAATTGGAATGTTCTGCTTCGGATACCACGGAGCCCCCTTCCAGAAGGTAACAAGGAAAATAGGTTGTGAAGAGGGTGTGTAGCGTCCCAAACAATCTTGCAGACCCTGCTCAAGCAACGCTTCTGTGCTATGTCCTGGATCGGAGGGAGGGAATTGCCAATGATCTTTTTGGCCATCCTCACCATTCTCTGCACCACCTTCCTGTCTGAATTAAAATGCAAGCATAACTTTAGATATCTCATTTTAATGAGATAT